CGAGGGCAAAAGTATAGCAATTCGAAACATTTGTCAGCTCTTCAGAAAATTTTATTGAAGCAAATGATTATTTTTTCTTTTTTCCCTTTTCTTTTTCCCTTTTTCTTTCTTTTTTTCTCTTTTCATTTTTTTCTATTATTTTTTTATTATTTATTTTTTCTCTATTTTTTCATTGACGAAGATTTGATTATGAATTGTAGAGAAGTATGAGTTTATTTCTTTTTGAATGGTTTGAACGAATATGTTAAAACAGATAATGATTACTTTTTATTTTTTTTATTTTTATTTTGTTTGAGGAAGAAACGAAGTACCGATGTCGTTTGGAGATGACTATTTTTTTTTAGTTTTTTTTTGCTCTGTTTTTTTGTTGTCTTTGTAGCGAGCACACTTATGAACCTTTTTCAGTTCCGATACTGTCGGGTGCAGGTGTCGTCGTTGTTATGGAGAATATATTATTTTATGGTCTTTCTTTCTCCTATTGTTTTTTTTTTTTTTTTTTTTCAGTGGAAACGTTGTTCGTAGCGGAGAAGTATTATTTTCTTGCTCGGTTCCTACTTCCCTGAGAACTCTCAAGGGTTATGTATTTCACCCACATATGATTTCTGCACCTCTTCGAAAAAGATAAAGGGATTGTTTTTTAGTGTAGTTTTCAGTTTGTTTTTCGTTTCTTCGCGTGTTGACCGTATTTCGTTTCCTGACGTTGCATTTACGGTTTTTTGTTAACGTCTCCCTTTTTTTAATCTTGTTAGCCTCTGAGTCACACTTTTTTTTATGGTTTATTGTTTTTTTTTTTTTTAGTAAAAAATTAGCTTCATCATTGTTCGGAGATTTTTTTTTCTTTATGGTTTCGACTTCTTCGGTTGTCGAACCTGTATCCAACATTTTTAAATGCTAGTTTGTTTATATATTTTTTTTTACTAATCTACTAACTAAAAACCGCAACATATGTTGGGTAGTTTTTGAACAAAAGGCTAACGCTTGTAATACTCGAGTATTACCCTATGAGGTAAAAATCCTCAGCCCGTCAAGAATGTTGTAAGGCTGCTGATCACCCGAAACCACTCTAACCATTCTCATAACCAGTATCCATATATGAATTCGAGAGAACTTGGTCTCTTGGTGAGATCAGTGTAAGGCTGTTCTCGTGTTGGCATGAAAATGTGATTTTTAGAGGGTTCGATGATTAGAGGAAGAGTCTCTCACATGAGGTAGATTAATCGGTTTATCGGTCATGACAACTCAGTGAGTAATTTCTTCTATGAGTTCCTTTACGTATTTCATAGTTAGGTTACGGGCTGGGATCTTTTACATCGTTTTCAGTATTGCGCTTGGTCATTATATTCTTTTTGGGGTTCTGTCTGACCGGGTAAATGCCTGATAGAAATCGATATTTTTTTTATTCCACGGATACTCCCGTCTGTGGTCTGAGTTAAGGGGAGGGGTATTTGGTTAGTAGAGAAGCATAGCTTGTTTCCTATAATCTCACAAAATGACATATTTTTCTCTGATCAAACCAAAAAGAACTGACACGACCTTTGTTCGTCAAAAGGCACAGTCAAATCTCTATAAATGCAACTCATAGAGACAAGCCTATAATGTGCATTTAGAGAGGTTTGCATACTCAAGGGTTAGATATCTCGCGAAAAACTAACTGCCAAAAGTGGTAAAAATACTGGGGTGTTTTAAAAGTTCGTCCCCACAGTTCGTCCGCTCTAACACGAAACAATCCGTTTTATAGAGTTTTTGTGATAAAAAATTCTGGGTTCACATTGGTCCGGTTTTTTGTTTCGTTGTTTTCAGAAGATCGAGGTGTTGGTGCGAGCTTAAATGTATAACAATATCATGTGATTTTTTTCGCGCAGGTGCGTTTATTACGGGTTTCTATGCATGGAAAAATGAAACTTCCTTTATCGAAGATTTGGCACGCCTCGATGATTATATTTGTTTTTTTTGATTTTTGACGGTCTTTTGACCTGGAAAAATCAAACTTTGAATTAAATTATTCATAAACTTTAACTGATCTGATTTGAGAATTGTCACTACTCAGTTCCTTTAATTTGTTTTTTTCTTCCTCTCCTTTACGATTCCTTTATTGTTTTTTTTAATAAATTGCAGTATTTATTTAATAAATTATATGCATTATAGCATCACAATCAATGATAATATTAAATTTAAATCTTTTGTTGCAATAACAGCAGAATAAATTTATGGAGTTATTAGCGAAGTTGCTTTACAGCAACAAGAAGTAGAATTTTTTTTTTTTTTTTTTTTTTTTTGTGAATATTAATATTAAGAGAAATAGAGAAAAATAATAACTGACAGGCAAAAAAAGAACAAAAAACTCTTTTTCTAAACTTTTCAGTAAAAATCAAGCTAGCAGAAAGAAAAATAAGGGGTTAACAGTTAATATTAATATTTAATATATACAAAAATGTTTTTGAAATGAGTTATAGTCTTCATTATCATTACAGTTTGGTTAAATGTTATCTTTGCACGTGATGTGCACGTTATGGCATTATCGACGGCCTAAAATTTATACTCCAATTCTGTCCATAAATCTGCCAAAATTTATACTCTAAATCTGGCAATTTATATTCAAATTTATATTCTAATTCTGCCAAAATTTACTAGATTTTATTAATAAATTTCAATTCAGTGAATATTTATCTTAAAAAATAAGAATACAAGGAATCTTCATATAATCGAATTAATAATTGACAAAACACCTGTTATTCACTATATTATTAGTAAATCTAGATTCAGTGAATTAACGGGTCACATGATCATAGGGTTTTTTTTATTTAAAAAGATTTCACGTGATCAATTATCTAAGTGTCACCTAACAGGGGATCTACAAATATGCTATTTACAGGAATAGGGAATAATATCGATTTAATTTTGTAAAAATATCGATCGATTTGGTTAAAAATATCAATTTATACTGAATGAACCAATCAAAATGCAGTATGCATATATTCTACTACTGATATCGCTACCCAAAAAGTTTTAAAATTACTTCGAAGTAAAATTTTGTTTTGTTTGGTTAGAGTTAGGGTTTTGTTACTAGGTTTGGTAAAGAAAATTTTTACTAATACGCAGAAGGCCCTTTCATAGACTAAATCTTGAGCTAAATAAGCAATTTTTACAAAATGAACGTTTGTTTTGTATTTTCTTGATCATGCTATATTACACCTGATCTTAAATTTGATTGGCTGTGAAACTTTTTAGGTGGTGATTTTACCCCAATTTTCAAATTTATATTGCTTAGCCCAAATTATATCTAAATTTTGCCCAAAATTCGTAATGTTACACAGTATTACAAATTGCAAAAATATCAATTTACCTATGATTTGGCCCAAAATATCATTTTACATATTATTGATGCAAATCAATATTATTCTCTGTCCCTGGCTATTTAAAAAGATTTCACGTAATCAATTATCTGAGTATTACCTGACAGGAGATCTATAAATATACTATTTAAAAAGATTTCACGTGATCAATTATCTGAGTATCACCTGACAGAGATCTACAAATATATTGATCATGTAAACAACCCTTCTTTGATTAAAAAAAACCTTCATATTACTAAATCTCAATAATGAAAAAATATTTTTTTAACTGAAACCCCTGATAAAATAACAATAATAACTGCAATGTACACAAGAATAACAACTAATAAATAGACTGGTAATGAAAATGAGGAAGTTAATATTTATAAAAACATGAAAAATAGGATACTTAAAGCCTTAATTTACAACAAAAATAAAAAAGAATGTTTCGAAAAATTAATGTCTCTTGAAGATATCAAGGTTAAGTAATATCTGACTATTATATTATTGATAAAACTAATGAGAATGTGATGAAAATAAGCATAATGTTATTAGCCCAAATATTTTTAGCCTTCAAGACATTCACAGCTTGCGATATTGCAAAAATATAACTTGTATACTGACTTGCATACATTACAGTAACAGTTTTTCTGTAAAGATGTTCGTAGTGATATGTTGTAACAGGGTTGAAATTTTATCACATTATGTTACAGTACCAGGCTTTTTCCTGCGAAGATGTTCATTGTGATAGAGAACAACAGGCAGTCTAAATTTATTATGCTAATAGCAGAAGACAAAACTTGAAAATTTTTTTTAACTTTTTTTCAAATTTGAAAATTCAAATTATTTAACTATGAACTAATTTTAAAATTTTAAATATTTAAAGGCTGCTGTTCATTTTAAAGCTCTTGAAGCACTCATGAAAGCGAGCACGTTGATAATAGTAAATTTTTTAAATCTAATACTGTATATAAATTAATGCTGAATAAACTTTAATCTTAAATTTATACAGCCAGTAGAAATTTCGATACTGAGAAAAATATTAATAAGCTGCAAACAATTTTGGTAATAAATGTGAATTTCACAATTTCGTCTAACTTTAGTTATATATTAAATTTTTCTTTATTAAGAAATATCGTATAGAATCAAAAAGTGTATTTTATCAAAGTACTGTCTCACGTCTCTGTTCTCAACTACACAAGAAACTAAGTAATTTGAATGTTGAAGATTTGACATATGATAATCCACTAGCAAGTAGCATTATATGTAATGAATCTGAATTAGTCAAAAACCTGCCACAAGATTGTCAAGAAGAATTTCAGACAAGTAACAATAATTTCAGAAAAATGTTCGTGATTGAATTAAGAATAACTATTTCTAAATAGACAGGTATTTTGAAAATGAAGCTTGAAAATAATTCTGATTTAAAATGATCTTCTGAAACTTTGGTGAAAAGTCATCAATCATGTAAAAACCAAAAAAACAAAATACACTTTGGAAATAATGTAGATTATGGGATTTTGTTTGACGAAAGAAAAGATATAATTAAATTTGCAAGAAGAATATCTAATACTCTGTACGATATATATTTTATTATTCGTGGTAAAAATTTTATTTACTTTTATTTCCGTTTGTAGTGAGAATGCATGGAGGTCACAACATTAAGCTATGATAGCCAGTTTATTAAAACAGATTAATGAAGAAACATACGTTGCAGAGGTATTAGCACCTTTGCTAACTGCTACTTTTTCAGAATTACCAATCCCTTTGATGTATAAAACAAATTGGTAATATTTTCTTTTTTTTTTAATCTAATAATTTGAATTGTTGGAATTTTTAATTCTATCATCCTTAATTAGGGGAGAAATTGAGGGTCCTTCTAGTAAGGCTTGTAAAAAATCATATGGAAATAAACCAGATTTTATGTTATGCATAAAAGTCAGTGATAAAGAACTAAAATTAGTTAATATAGAAACAGGATGACCTGAATCTGATTGGCAGAAACAAATTACCATAATAGACTAGCATGTGGCACTAAAGATACTTTTAAGGATTTTTCCATCAACGGTAGCGAAAAAAAATATGAATACGAAGAATTGATGAAAATTTTTTGTCTTAACATTAAAGGCAAGTTATATAGAAAAATTAATATTTTCACAGTATCTATCAATTCATGTTTTTTCCAAAGCCAAAGAAGGATATTATCATTTTGTTAAGATACGTTAGACTGAGATTCCCCTGTTTGAAAGGTAGCCTGATCAAGTATTTGAGTTGATGCAATTATTGTTAGAATTACGAGTATGTTTACTATTCTTTATTTTACTACGTTTGAACTTTTAATTTATATAGAAATTTGTAATATTTTAAGACTGCTGTTATTTTGATAGCCAGAATGCTATTTTATCGATATACAACACAACATTATAAAATTATAAGAGTAGTGTTTCTGGTGTTAAACAAATGTTTGTAACAATTGGGACACCTAAAGGCATTAAGAAACAATAATATAATGGCATTACTTATAGTTTTAATGAGCTCTCAAATGTGTAGAATTTAAATATATAATAAAAAAGTGACTTTGGATTTTATTTTTTAAAAACCAATCAAATTGCTGCATTTAGAAAATTGATATTGAGCCAATATTTTATGGTTCTCAAAATTCATGCAGTATTGGCACTTTAATTACAAAATTTATAAAATTTGGCCTAAATTATATTATCGCTATGATTTGGTTTTAATTGGTCATTTGTTTGAGGCTAAGTCAAATTAATTTTAATGCTGGTAGAAATTGTATATGCTTTGGCCAACTTTAATACCTATATTGTAAACTTAAATATTGTTCCAGGTAAGATAACTTAATCATTTTGACACAAAATTAAATAGTCACATGTTTTATCATAGGTAAAATTTAATAAGAATAGGATGTCCACGATTATGCGATGTGATGTGATAAATTAATTTAGATCAAAATTCCCGAATCAAAATTAATTCTAGGCTAGCAAATTAAGCATAATTTTGGGCAAAATTAAAAGCAATTTGATGCAAAATTATATATAATTTTATTGAATATTTATATAATTTTAGCAAAATTAGGTAATAAGACTGAATGAAAAATTCTATAGTGAAAACAATTCTAAATATAGTAACTCTGATAAACATAATTTTGATAGAATTAATTCGCAATTATAATAAACGCTCTGGTAATAAACATAATAATAGTAAAGATGATTTTGGTAGTAGAATTAATTCAATTTGTTATTTGTTTAGCTATCGAGGTAAGTCAAATTGATGTTAAGCTGGTAGAAATTGCTAGTTATAAAAATACTATTCTAATTTTGGTCAAATTAAATTCAATTCAGGTCAAAATTCAAAATTACTTGCAATAAGAAATTATAAGATTAAGTATAATTTCAGGCAAAAATTTCAAGCAAATTAAATAAAAGTTATTGTAAATAAGCTTATTTTTAGGCAAAATTAAATTTAAAGAAATTTCATCAAGCCTTTTCACTTTATTTTTAGAAAAATCCTGTGAATTTCTTAATATTTTTATATTGGTTAACTCATTGAATAAATATCTCTTAATATTAATATTTTTTCACATTGAATTATCATCTTTTTTTTTGCAGCCAATGTTGATCTAATGTGAGTCAATTATCTCACTTTGGAGTGAAAAGCGTACAAAAGTATTTCATCATTTTTTAATTGATAAATTGATGCCTCAAATTAGAGTATTAATAATGTTTTTACATTTAAATCCTTTTTGTAGTTGAATTTAAAAAACATCACTTTTTGAGATCAGGATTTATTGGATCTACATTTTACTTGTTTATCTTTTTATCTGTATTTATTTATTATTTGTAGTCGAAATTACTCAAATTTTACACTAGTGCATCCTATTTAAATTTTTGACATTAAAATATTTTGGTAAAGTGGTCCAAAATTCGTTGATCATGGGGTTAGCCAATCAAAATAACCAAAATTGAATTTGATTGGCTAATTGAACAATCAAATAATGCTGATCATTGAATTACGAAACAGGGCTCTGCTGGATAGATAGTTTCTTTATCAGTTATTAGTTAATTCAAATAAGTAAATTGGTCTATGAATAATCACAAAGAGGTCTTACTGTATATTATATATTTATGGTTTTATTTTAAAATTGGCATTATTGTTGTTGCTAAATTCATATATATATATATAATATTGCCATTAGGTACTGTATTACATTTGTCCTAGAATTCGAATCCTGGATCGAAAACATCTTTCATACGTGGCAAATGTCTGCAATATGAATTTCATAATTTTCTATTCATTTACAGTATTGCAATTAATCGATGAAAGATTTGAGGCTCATATATTCATTTTAAGATTTGCGATTTTGGTGTGGAATTGGTATTTATTTATTGGTGTTGGTTGGTTTCTTATTTAAATTATATTGCATCATTTGTTTATGTGGCTATAATCTATTTTTAATATGAAATTAAAAATTTTTAACTTGATTATTAAATCTTACTAACTGTTGAATTTATTATTAGTTGATTTGTGCAATCAGAATCTCGTGACTTTACAACTACATTAGATTTGGTAACTTTTGATTTGGATTGCATTGGATAACTTTGCTTATCTGGTATATATTATCCATTCAATCAAAATTTTTTGATTAAAATTGTATTTATCCGCTTTGCAAAAATGGCATAAATCGAGTTATTGCAAAATTACATTCAGATGGGTGTAAACAAAAAGATGAATCGATTGAATTCAATTTATTTAAAAGTTTTCTATATCCAATTATTGTAATTTATTCAATCAATTGTTGCTATTGAAACTAAAAAACATTTCTTTGAAAAATTTTTTTTAAATTCCTAGTGTGCCAATTATTTTATTTTTTTTAAATTTCTAGTGTGCCAATTATTTTATTTTTTTTGGATCTGAACTCCTGTCCATCGACATGTGGCCATGTCCAAGAACAACCCTGAAGTATGGTACTAAACCTTTATATGGATCTAAACCAGGGTCACGGAAAATTTTGGAAATAAATTTTTCCAAAATTTTTTAAATATTTGCACAAAATCCAAATAAATCCAAATTTTTTGGGTTTTTAACAACATAATATTTCTTTTTTTATTGGTCCAAAATCACCTTTTAATCATGTGAAATAATCAGCCATGGGCCGATCAAGGCACCAGGTTAACAAAACAGGGACACAGGTCATTATTAGTCATATGACATGGCCTAAATTATAAATTAATTTCGTAATGCCAGCCAAAATCCAAATTTTTCCAGATACCCAAATAAAGTTTTGAAATTTGATATCCAAAATTTTCCTTGGCCCTGCACGATACTTAATTTAATTTTGCCCAGAATTATACTTAATTTTTTATCTAATTTTGCCCAGAATTATATTTACTTTAGCCTAAATTAATTTTAATTTTGTCTAAATTATGTATTTTAATTTTGCCTGAAAATAAAATTAGTGATATTTGTTGATAATTAATATGATTGGTTAACTACGTGATGTTGTTGATTCACGCGAATTTTCTGAAAATAGATTGTCATGTGAGATTAATAAATTTTTATAAATATAAAATTTTGAATTTTCGATTTTTTGTTGATTTTAATTTTTTTTAATACGATGTCTTACAAAAAAAAACATGTTTTTAACGACATATCAAACTCTCTATCAAATTCTTTTGAAGATCCCCGTTTAATAGAAAATGCATTACTTTACTTTGAGTATAAGCTAGATACAACATGGAGTCTTTTAGATTTCCTTCAATTTAGAAAAAAACAAACAACGTGGACAAAAAAAAAGATGTAGAATTTAAACTATTCTTGCAATGTCTTTCAGCCAAAACCAAAACGATAGATATTGCTATTCAAAATTTTATGATTAAAAAATATGATGTAAGTTACTCAAAATGACTTACTCTCACTTCTTGTCTTATCTGTATAAACAAACGTTGCAATTTCTCTTCACTATCTTCACTATTCAACTTGGCCTCATCTGTATTATATGCAGGATATTGCAAGTTAACTTTTTCTTTGACTTGGCATCACTTGTATCTTACAAGGTGTTGCAAGTTTTTTGATATGATCAAATTCTTTTAACTAAGAGTGACTTTATTTTTTTAGAATGAAAAAAAAGGAACTCATATAAAAGGCATTTTTGAAGATCATCTGACAATCACACTTTCTAACAAAGAAAAGTCTCAAAATTTCAAGTCACTTGTGTCTGGAAAAGTAGGTCATTAGAATATATTCTGTGGTTAAGATTGTAAAACATATAAAATATATGATTTTTAATAAAAATTATTCAGATTGGTACTAGACAATATAAACTTGAATCAGGAAATACCCTTCAAGAAACATTAGCATCGTATTGGAAAAACAAATAGAATGAATTCAATAAACTTGATTTTGATGATCCTTTTGTATCTGGAATTCTTTACTTACCTTTTTTACCATGGCTTAATGAGCTTCTTTCAACTAAAGATATCATTAAATTGAAGAATAATTCAAGCTTTATACACAATTTAGCTAATAGTTGATGGTTGTCTTATTTGCAAAAAATTTAATCAAAAAATAAAGACCTGGTATTTAAAAATCAAGGACCATTTTCCATATTTTGTCAAAGGATGTATTTGCATTTGTGAGCATTTTTTCTTAAAAATATAAAATTGGATCACTACTTTAATAACTTTAACTTCAAAATAGTTTAAACTTGGTAGAGACTGGGATGTATAATAAACCCGATCATTTACTTAATGAAGAAACTTGGTAACACGATGTATATGACTTTTTTAAATATCTTCTCGACCCATTAATTAGCCAAAACAAACAATATGACCATGTTATGAAGTTGAAGCGTTACTGATATGTATATCTTTTATACATAATCTTAAACTGAATTTTTGAAACTGAATTTTTAAATATTTAGGGCAGAAGTAACTTTAGATTCATCTTCAGAAAGAAAGACAAAAGCTCAAGTAATTGAATCATTTAGAATTTACATAATCTTAAATTCTACTAAAATATTTATTATGTAATAGAATAAAACTATTAGAGGAAGGATAGTAGATTTTGTTCTACGTCTCAAGAGTGCAAAAAACAAAAGTCTTGAACTCTTTGTATATGAAATTGCTGGTGGCCCATACAATTTGAAATCTGATAAAATTTTGTCTGATAAACGTAAAGTTTTTGGAAACTTCAAGATATGTTGGCAGAAATAATTGGGTATTTTATAACCAATTATAAGGATCAGTTTACTGATAATATAGTAAATAAACTTCATCAAATAAAAGTATATGCTGCTGTTGGATTCAGTATATTTCGTAACTAAAAATTATATACAGTATTACTTAACATTATTATAATTTTTATTAAAAAATGATTTATTTTGCAGGGTTTCAAATATCTTTTTACTCACTAGATATGAAAAAAGGAATTAATATTTGTTATCCATTATCTACGATTACCATTCCAAAAACGTATTCTGAAGCTAGTTATTTGAAGATTTTGATTGAAAATTTTTGGTGACTTAGAGTATGTTCATTCGAATTCTACAATTGCAAATTTATTACAAAATTAATTGTTCATTTTCTTTGCAGAATGCCTTACAAGAAATGATTGAACTGGTCATCAAAATTAATGAAGATCTTGAACAATTGCATGATTCAAGACCCAGTAAAAATATAGAAGGTTTTTTACAATATTGGAATATTTATGTGCCGAAAACTGTAACCACACCAAAAATGAATTATACGTAACTTGAAAATAACCTTTGTCTCAATTTACATGAATCATGTGGATCACGTGGACTTGACACAAACTTTTTTTAATTTACAATCATTTTGAATTTTATAAATGATGTGATTATAGTTCACACTGCGTAATATTTAATTCATCAAAAATTTTATTGTTAAATAGTTTTAACAAATCGTATGACATCCATATTTGGCTTTGAATATCAATTAACTTTAACATACGTGACTGGTAATGTATGTACATTGGTAGATTCAAATAAATTAAATTTATGAATAACATGATAAATACTATTGTCTTCATAAGCACTCAAGAAACTATTCATTATATTTTTTAAAAAATAAATTTAAAAAAGTTGAGGGAGAAACTAAATAAAGCTTTAGGAATAACTTTTTTGTGCTTATTTGTTGAAAAATTTTTATCTTGAGGAGCTCAAAATTAAATAGACAGGGTCTCACAAGCTTGTTGAGTTGTTACGTATTTGGTAAAATATCCAAGAATTGAAAGCTCGTTGTGGCCTATGTTCTGGCATAAAACATTCTTCTTGGTTGTTTAACTTTACCAGCGTCTTTCTCGGTAATTAGCCTGGTGAAGAGAATACGTCTTTTTTTTTTTTTTAGCTTTATACATCTATGAAACAAAGCTTATAAAATATTTCGATTTAGTTGTTCTGGTGATGAAGGTCAGGATATAATTATAAAGAATTGTTTTAAAATAGTTATCCAATACAAGAGTATAAGTATGTATCTGTTATTACTAATTTTTTTGATGATAAGAAAGGGAACATGTTAATGAAGTCGATGTCACAGTTAGAATTGGAGTGTTGTAGAGGCACGAAGGATTCAACTTGGGACGATTAGGGCAACTGAATATCAGATGGAAGAGTCATTACCACAACCTACAATTGGATAAGTGATGTTATTAAAGAAAAAATGATTAATTTATTGAGAGAAAGGATAAACTAGCTAGTGGAAGAGGTGATATATTTAATCTAAATTATTATTTAATTTATAAATATTGGTATTAAGACTATGATAATTGTTTCATTATTTATTGCTAATTTATTATTAATTTAAATTAATTATAATTTTTTAATTTTCAAAAAAAAAGACTTAAGCATCAATTTATTCGTGTTTGATTAGATCTTTTACCTTTAACTATCGATAAAAAAAAAAACTATTTTTAGAATTAAAAATAATTGTTATTTAGTAAATATTTTTTCTTATTTACCAAATGATTATACAATACAACTTCTAATGGAAAATACTGAGTCAAATGTTTTTTATTGTGATTATTTAATTGTGAAGGTTTTTTAAATGTATTATAAATTGAGATCTGAATATTTTATTGTTCACTCGTTCTTTCTAATAATTCATTTATAGGTTGTTATTCAAGATACAATACAATAGAATAAATGAATAAAATTTAAGATGCGATCCGTTTAAATTATCTATATATTTAAAACTTCGGTTTTACATTAAAATTTTGAATGGATTGCATACCTATTAGATATAAAAAATCTATTTTTCAATTTATAATTGTGGTTACATTGTCTAACAAATAATACATAACATGATAAAATGATACAGTAATGGTCACTTTTACATATCACATTGTATTATATAAGCATGATAAGCATAATTTTTTATTTCAAATTTAAAAAAAAAATTGCAAAATCGTTCTGATTCTCCAACTATAGACGAACGTGAGTCCAAGCGCAAACTTATCTCTGAGCAAAAATTTGATCTTAGTAATAAAAACAAGGAAATAGTTAATTTGGTAAATAAAGTTATTCAAGAGTTTAAAGATGTTCGAACTACAAAATGGTTAGATCATAATATGAACATAATTATTTTATTTATTATCTATTCTAAATTCTATATAAAATCTATAATTAAATTCTGCAATTAACACTAATTTAGATAAAATAAAATCATGTGAATTGACAAATAGTATTAGTTTGTGATATATAGTTTTTTAGATAATTTTTTTTATGTGATTATTTTCTTAAATTTGTTAAATTCCTAATAAAATCAATATAAATCTTGAAAGAAATAAACAAAAAATGATGATTGTTTGTTTCTTTTCCTCTTTTCATCTAACAAATTGGTAAATGTTCTCTGAGAATACTGATACTTTATTTCTTAATTTTTAATTGTCACTGAAATAGAATTATTTGTCACTGAAATTAGAATTTTGATTTTAACTTTTAATTGCAAAAATTTTTTAAATTTAAATCAAAATTCAAACCTTTAAATTTTAGAATGCGAATTAAATAAATATGTTCTGCTTTTTTATTTTTTGAAACTAAATAATAGCTTGTAATATGTAAATGATGCCTTTTAGAAGTAGAAAGACTTGTATGCTTTTAAATTGAGTAAGTATATAAACAAAGATAGCTATTTTTTGACAGTTTTCGTATAGGAAACACTAATTATAATACAAAAATTATCTATTTAGGCAAAAAAAGACTTAATGAATATAACATTATGATAGAATCTAGATAAATTCAACTTAACATTTTATTATGTAATAACAAATAAAACTAAATGCGGCAACAGCTGTTTATATTAATACATTTGTAAGTTCAAGCCAGCCATTGAATTTTTATCGAGCTATTTTGTTATAGTTTTTTGAAAATGAAATCTAATTCTACCATCTGCATTTTTACAAAATATGAACTTTTTGTTATTCTCTTAAGTATAAAGCTTATCAGCTTCTATCACTCTATTGTTATAAAGTATATTAATAAATTCTTCAAGTTTTTCACAATAATTTAGTAAGTTATCTAAAGTTAGTAAATCATAACCTTTATCATCAAAATTAATTGATATTTCTGCTCGTGATAGTTTAAAGCCAACTTTCTTGAGAATATACCATGAACTAACATTTATAGGTCTGACTATAGTACAGAATTTCTCTAATTCTTTACCATTAAATTGAAATATTTCTTGAATCTTTTGCTTATTCTGTTTATCAAAACTTTCTTCTAAACCAATTTTGCGTACTTCTGGGCCCCACTCATTAACTATCTTACTTAAGACTGAGTACTCAATCTCTTTGCCCCAGTATTTCTGAGATAATGCATAAACTATTTCGGAGTTACTTTTTTTTTCAGATTTAGGCTTAGACAGTATAAATCCTATGAAATCATTTTATTCATCAAGGATGGTGAGTGCACCTTTAGGTTGTCCAATTTGATAATCATTATTTACACTAAGTTTAATTTTCTCACTTCTTAACTGTCTTTTTTGATATATATATTTCATAATATTTATATCAGATAATAAATGTTCATAATTTGATATGTCATGCTTCTTAATTTCTCGAGTGGTCCATTCTTTATTATTTTTATCAATACCACTAAAACGCACAGATACTATATCATCATCTGAAAATTTAAAAATTAATCTTGTCATACTTTTGCAAGGAATTGATTCGAACTTCCAAAGGAATTTAAAGAATAAGTTTGATTTTTGTTGCGGATATTAAACATGCTTAATTTTTATGATTCATTTTATAAGTAATTGATAAAGTTTTTATTCAATATTTTACAATTAACAAATTTAATTTAACTAATCAAAAATTTACTGACAGTATTGTTATTTTATTGTAGTATTTATAAGTAGCTCCTTCTTCAGCTAGTTCAGAGTAATAATAGTGCTTATACAAAAAATAGCAAGCATCTTTATTGAATGCTGATTCTGTATTATTTGCAATTTTACTAATTTCTTCAATTGAGGATCGATTCTTAAATTCAAAGAATTCAAATACTTTGTCATATTGTTTGAGATCAGATTGCCACTTTCTAAAATATTTAACAATGCCACTAGCTTCTTCTACATTTATTTTCATGAACTGTATAAAATCTTCTCTTCTTTGTGGTATCTCAATATACTTAGTTGCATATTTATTATAAATGTTATCCTTTAGAAAATTAATGATATCCTTTATGCTTTGAGTAAAGAAATTTATTTTTGAAATATTTTTGTTGATAGCATCGATATTTTTTTTAAACTAAATTTATAGACAAGTATTGATATAACATCAATATTTACATGTTCCACTTTGTAAAAATATGTCATTTTTTTCTTTAGATTTAACAAATTTTTTTCTGAAATAGTTTCTTTATTCTAGATAATGAGATAATACACTGACTCCCATTTGTTTTGCATCACATGAAAAAAAAATTTTAAATTTATATAGCCTCCCAAAGACAAGTTGTATCAAACCAATTTTTTTTTAATTTGTCTAAACCAACAATATCTAACACCAGAATATCACCAAAATTGAATCACATGATTTTGATCTACATTATAATTTGTTCGATTTCTCTGATGCAAAACATTTGACCGTTATAATAAAAAATCTAATAGTAATTTTAATTTTTAACATGAATATTATCTGTAAGGACCAGATTAATTTAATTTAGATAATGCCGAAAAATTTCCTAGGTTTCTGGGATTCAAAATTGACCTTAACCATCAAAATTGGCTAGATCTTTATTGAGTTATATATTTTTTTAATCATGCAATTATTTGTGGTCTAACTTTTAATAGTAAATTACTATCTTAATTAAAACCCAATATTGTGCTATAAATTGCACCAATAAAGAAAATTTTAAATAAAAATTTTTAATATTATATAAATATCTACTGTTACTGATTTAATTATCATAAATTTTTCAATTAGTTAACACAGTTATGACAACAACAAGAAGAAAATCAAGAAGAAAACACTAATGTCTTTAACAACACTTTAAAGTTCAATTATTAATTCTTGTATAATGCTTAATTGATAATTTAGATTTAGTTTTTTGTGATCTACAGTATTTCATAAATTATTTCTTCTAATTTTTTGATTATTTTTAACTCATCATCTAATTGAAGTATATTGTTCATTCAATTCTTTATTATTTTTATTTGAAGTGATTCTTTTGAAATTGCTTTCTTTATTCTAGTTTTAATAAAATATTTCACTCCCTGGACTGTACATTCTTTTGGTAATATTATTAAACCATTTCTTTCTTCTATTCCATCTTTTGGAAATAAAGGTGTTTCTAAATTGATTTTTGATAAATGAGCCACTTTTCTTAAATATTCTAATTGATTTATTAGACATATAAGTGTTTCTAAATTGATTTTTAATAAATGAGCCATCTTCTAATTGATCTATTTTACTAGAGACATTAGTGTTAGAATTTTGAAACATGATTAAATTTTATTCATATTTTATTTTTAAAAAATTTTATAATTGTATTGTTTTAGTGAATAAATTGTAAATAAATTGATATTTAATAAAATTTTATAAAATCAATTCAATACCTTACATATAATTTTATTAGAGGTAAAATATATTAATATTAAAATTTGATTAAAATATCGATTTAAAAACTTCAATTGTAATTTATATTATAAAAAATCTGCATTCATGAATATGCCTGATAAAGCACTTTTTATAATAAAAAAA